ACTTCAATTAAAGATGCTGTTTATATTTCCTTTTGATGTCAAAGCCATAAGATCGCCGTCTGTGATGAAAGCAACATCATTTAGGATAAAACTAACCCCTAGTCATATGAACTCACTTCCTATAACACCAATATGTAAATGTAGATAATGATAATGAAAATGGTGGTCAACATTATAGTTTACGTGTGTACATGTATGTCTTGAATCAAATGTGGCTTCAATCTCCGTGCCTAGGCTAAATTTGGTTGAAATACAAAATAAGATGCAAATTTTATCCTAGTGATATTTCAGCTGAAGATCAAGTTTTATTTCGTCAACATGTGCGAATTCTTGAGTGCCATTTTTCGCTAAGTTTGTATTAACATAAGTTGATTTAAAATTATCAACAGTGACTGGAGAACGAGCTTTGTATGGCTATCCATGTCTCGCGGACCCAGCAAGTAACAGCCTCGGAATATTCCACAACCAAGAAGGACTACTTTATGTGAAATAACCATGCAATAAACAGTTTATGGAAATGAGAGACGATCTGGAATGCATTCGATTTCTGCATCATTTTTTATTATTTACTTACTGTTTAAACTTACTCGAAACATTTCGTGACGCATCATCAAAAAGCAGAGTATTCTGTCACTTAGCCTTATGCAAGTTTACGTAGGGTTACTCAGTTTCACAAAGCCTCACATCAAATGTGCGGACTAATTAATTTTAAGTAGAAATTTTCACACAATGAAGACACTCAAGACACTGAATTGAATTTATACTCACTCAAAAAACAATAAATAGCGGCAAAAATTCTTAGGCCTGGGGGTGAGTTCTCAATATATGAGGTCATCCTGCAGAAGATTTATTGTCACAAAATGCAGCATCAGGTTACGTTTCTGGAGAACGAATGGCTGCATTCCTTTGAAAGCATTAATTGGCCCAATGTTGGTTGTACTTCAGTTTACTCAGTGAATGACATGTGCCACTATATTGAAAATCACAAAAAATGGCTCTTATGTAACAATTATAAACCTGGTTACGTCTTAGCTTACCGCAGAGTTCTCTTATCTGTGACTCAGTGGTAGTGTAACAGAGCTCGATATGCGATGGACAGGGGCTCGATTCTCCTTGGGTTACTGGCTCATATTTTTTCATTTGTCGCTCACTCTTGACGAGAGGAAGAACATCCTCATTCAGGATCTTCATGGTAACGGTTTCCTCGCATGGAGCATGTTCAGTGTAACTGACTACCAAAGTAAAAAAAAAAAAGAAATTGTTGCTTGAAAGCCACAGTAAGAGGGAAAAGCTATTCCCTTATTACAACAAAGCAGAGGCTTGAAAGCTATCTTGTGCTTAACTGAGAGAGATTACAGCTACTAAGGGTCAAATTCAGTCGTCACACCTGCTTGCATCAAATACATATACTGACAAGCAAAATAACAGAGGATCAGGCACAAAAGCTCACAAAAAAAGGGACAACAACAAATATCATGAAGATATATTTTTTTTAGCCTGTTCACAGTTCGAAGTTCTTCGTGGAGACATCCCATTAATGATTAATACGGAATTGTTCTTCGGATCCTCTCTTCAACTTGCAACAAAAGCGTGTATGCGGTCATATTAACCAAATGGGAAAGCTGATAATTGACAACAAGAATAATTGATGCATATGCTGGACATCGAAGAACTAATTTCTGCTGGACATCAAAGAACTAATTTACCTGCTTAGTTGGAGAACTAGCAGTAATGATAACAATGCATCGTTGTAGCCGTGCCTTATGCCTTCAAAGTAAACCATTGGGACGTTGATTTGGGGACAAAAATCCTTGATGAAAGCAATGTATAACAGCTTTTAATTCGGCCAAATGAATAAAGAGGGTAAATTTCTAAAGAAACTGTGGTGTTGCGTCGGCGGGAGGAACGAGGTAAATTGGTTTTATCTATTAAGTAGAAATTGTAAATTTGCCCCCGCAAAGAGTTCATTAAAAGGGCTAATGTTTCGAGAATTAGCCCATCGTCAGAGCGAATGGCGCTCGGCCAGACTCAGTAAGGAAGATGGCGAAAACGAGAATTGTGTAGAAATTCAATTATCCCTTTGTACACTTGCAAAACAGCAGGGAATAATCTTACCCAACACCTTGTCCTTTTTTCGGCCGGGCTGAGTAAGGAAAATAGTGAAGAAAAAGCACAGTTTTGAAATTCAGTTATCCCCTTGCACACGTAAAGAACAGAAGGGAATAATCCTATCCAACATCTTATCTTTTTTTAGTGGCTGGCAAAACATTTGAATTAAGTTAAATTTTGTAAAATGTTAAATTTTGGTTTCATAAAGTCATATTACTGTCATGTATCTAGTGTTCTCTGCGCGGTAACAACCTCCATACCTCCTTAGTTTTTTAAAATTTGGGTGCGAGTTTTGACATAACTGTGGTTTCAAACTTATCATTCCAGCCGTAAACGATTGTTCAAACACAAATTACAATGATAGCAGGAAGCCGAAGAATTGAGCTCATCAATTTAACAAAGACCACGGACTTGCTGAAGGTTAGATTTCCAATGGACATGAACTTAATTAGTGTTGAGCCTCGTTGGTAGCTACAGCATCTCAGTGCCAAGCAATTATCTTTGCAAGGAAGGAACTCTTTGATCATGTTGTAGTTTCACTTTTTGGGCAAAGTTGGAAATTGGTCTGGAATCTTGAATGTAATAGGTCTGCGTAGCTTCATGGCTTAAAGCAACAAAATTAAGAACTTAGTAAGTAATTGACCAAAACAGCCAATTTCAAATTCAAAATTGATTTAAGGTACCTCCGGCTTCCCAATTTATCTTTTCATATCTTTAGCGTGCAGAAGCGGACGATGAAAGGATGATTATTTCCCTGGCCATTGTCTCAGTGCAGCGTTTAAGGGTTTAAAAGTTGTCCTAGATAGAGATAAAATATGTTTATGAAACAAAGGATAATTTTATTTATGCATGCCCCAGACAAAAAGCTTTCTGTATGTTGTTTTTCATTTAAGGAATGTCACCCCAGAAAGTTTGTAAGCGGAGGCTGCTTTTTTTTTTACTTGAAGCGAGCAGCCTAAACTTAAGAGCTCTTTCCTCTTATGCCTTTTATCTTCATTTACAACTCAGACTGCGTTTATTGTATCAACAACAACTTTTATTCAAATAAGTAAAAGGTTGCTTTACTTAGACATTCCGCCACTCATCCACAGGAAATGAAATCAACGAAAGTGTAACCTAGAATTTAACCCATTTAGTAATTCATTTGTTTCTAAGTTTTCTCCCGTCAAATCAAGTGTGCGCGCCACATTTTCAAATTTTTATCGTGCACTCACTTCATTTTTGGCAGTGATGACGCAGCCTTTGCATTACTGAGACTTTGGCTTTCACCTCAAAATTTTTATTTCAGGAAGTACTTGTGATGTCCATAATGTCCCTGCAATACCTTAATGTGGTCCTCATCGTCAAGCTTTGGAGCAATGCCACCCCTCCACATACTCAGTGTTCGGCTATTATCTCACTGATCATGTGATATCGACAAAGATTTCTTCCAGTTTGTCCGAGTACATTATTACTTGCGCTTGTGAGTTCCGCTGTAGAAGTTTGAACTACTCAAGACGAGCTTTGCGCCTGAAAAAAATTTTATGCAAATGAGCTTGCTGTAGTTTCCTTGAAGGCGCTTAATGACTAGTGAGCACTTATTGATTTTAACTTCATTATAAAATGGGAGCCACCCTAATTTATTAAAAGATTTACGCTATCTGATCTTGTGTCAGCTCCCAAAATTACTCGGGCAGCACGTTTTTGCAGCTTGAGGAATCCGTTAAATTATCAGCTGATCAGTTTGACCAGATAGTTGACCCATACAACATTACTTGTTTGATCATAGCATTTTAGTAAAGTGTGCGTTGTCTAAGAGGGATGAATCTCCTTATCTTTCTAAGAACCGCTATTCTCTGGTACAACTTCTCGCACAGTCCCTCAACGTGTACATCAAAGCTTGCGTGTTTGTCAATAGTAACCCCCAAGAGTTTCTGACTATGAACCTGTTCTATGTCAGAGTTAGCAAGTTTGAGTTCCAATGAGCAATTGTCAAGCTTGCATGGTATGCATTTCCCTGTAACAAGGAGACATTTCGTCTTCGCAGCGTTTGTAACCATTTTGTTAGCAGCCGACCACCGTAAGACGTCATCTAAGTGCTGTTGGAGGGCTGATGACATGGCAGTAAGTGCATTAGTCACGTCTGATGATAAACTGAGAGTAGTGTCATCCGCGAAGATGTCTACGGTAGAAGGCTGTATTAAAATAAGAGAACGGGTTGACTTCGAAAGAATGAGATTGGTGCCCGCGGCACGCAGAGTTTGTAAACCGAAATGGCTGATTCTCTATCCATCAGGTCCATTCATAAGGGATCTTGACGCCATGCGCATGTTTCCCATCTTATTTTGCGATAACGTGATATTATCAGTGTCAGCGTTCAGCCGCAGCAAGTAAACATGAAGTCACAAACTATGATAGATTCTCAGGACTTCCTCAGGACAACACGGCTCAACAATCTGAATTTTCTCTCTCAGCCTAGAACTCAGAGAGATTAGGTAATCAAATCTTTTTCATCATCTGAATTTAAAAAACATTTTCTTCGAGATATGGTTTCAGCCGTCCACGAATTATCAAATCCTATTCTTATCCCATAGTTAATAGAGGGGACTGGTTATGAAGGCCGGCATACATCAGAGAGCTAGGTTATTGTTCTAGTTTATCGAAGCCAACCAAGCGTGACCGTGCACACACATTCAAGATGGCGGGGAGCTAGAAGACTTGTGTACGTGGTTTGATCTGTTTCTAAAGCGTCATGATGTAGTTCTGTCCACCGGGACAGTTTATTTAAGTATCTAAACTCGAAATTACAATGCCTGGCGACAACTGTGCCGTGTTTGGTTGCGGTACATGTCGTAGAACGAAAGGAATCGGCATATTTAAGTTGCCC